TATGAACAGATAAATTATAAATATTTATAAATAAATATTATTAACACGACTTTGAGCATTTCATAGTAGAGAAGACGGATGTCCTCCGACTTCGTTCCTATGAAAGATGCAATTATTACTTATTGATACTGGTGATATGTTTTGTTATAATAATTAATAATTGTTATAATAATTATTTTCAATTTTATCTCCCTTTTTAGAATAATATTAAATGAGTTAATGAATTGAGTTTTATATAATGATAAACTTCAGTAGAATTTGAAATATAAAAGATTAGAATTCTTTCCGTAGAAAAATGTATGAAATTTTATGTGCAAGATACTTCGCGATAGGCAGATTTTTGAATCAAAGCAACAAATTTGGACACTGCTTTTATATTTTCGAAAATGTGCTTTGAAGAAGAAGTCGCCTGAGGTTATTTCTATTAATATTTAATTTAGAGGCAATTGTTTGATTTTGATTGTTTTAGTCAATTGTTAGATTTCATATCTTTTCTAATAAATTCAGTTCTTTGTCTTTATTCTCTTGCAATTTCAATAATTTCTGAAAGAGTAGAATCATTACAGCTTGAAATAAAATAATGCAATAGTCCGTTAGATACAAATTACATAAACTAATTATTTTTTTAGTTCAGGATTTTCAGGTTTAATCCCTTCCGTGTTCATTGTCAGGATCTCACTCACGTGCCCAGGTGCTACTTGGGTGGGTGAAAGACATTGGACACGATGACCATAGTTTGTAATTTTATAAAAAATTTCTTAGCGACTGACAATGTGTTAGTGTATCGTGCACGACGTATTTTCCGCATGTGTGTTTGGTTAGGATGTGGAATTGCGTCGTTTCTATTATTTTATTCATTATTTAAATATTTAAAATATTTACGCATTAAGTTGAAATATGATATATATTTATTATAATAATACCTATTAAATACACTATAATTATGTTATTAGTTATACTATTAATTATAATAATGATTCCAAGTCAAGTTGCAGAGTTTCTATAGAAATTATATGTGTCATTCCTCAATTACTAATATTTCACGTATAAATATAAACGTGCTTTAATCACGTTTTACGCAATGGTCGCTAGCCATTGTCAGTCGATTTCAGGAAAATGGTACGTAAATTAGAGTGTGAAAGTTGTGTGTTAAGCTCGGGTGTCGGAGGCGTCCCGGGACGTCCTCTCTAGTTTAGGTCTGCGCCCGAGTGG